GTTGTTCAGTGAGTCACTCCGTTTGTGTTGTTCAGTGAGTCACTCCCAATAATAATATAAAAATAATAATAATAAAGGAGTGACTCACTGAACAACACAAACGGAGTGACTCACTGAACAACACAAACAGAGAGTTAAAATATAGTAAAACAATCCTTACTTGTCCATGGGGTGAGCATGGACTGTGCAAACTTTCTGTTCTGGAACAGTCTTCCATTTTCTGGCCAGTTTTACCATTGCTGCAGCATCCATTAATCCATAACCAAAGGAGTGACTCACTGAACAACACAAACAATAATAATAATATAAACAACATGGTCGATTTGACCAAGCATGTAAACTCTTTGTACTCGTTTAAAGTCTTTATAGATTTAATACTAGTTTTAATATTGTTTTACTATATTTTGACTCTCTCAACATGGTCAATTTGACCGACCATGTGAACTCTTTGTACTCGTTTCTCAAGAACATGAGAATAATGTCAAATTACCAATTTTGTTTTTATACTGTTGCCTATTGGAGGTATGCATATTGCATCGTTTTGAGTAATTGCATGATGAAACATTCAGTGTCAATGAACTGACCAACCTAAACTGGGTGAAACAACTTATTTTCTATGTCACCTACAAAGGAAACCCAACAGTATGTAATGGGGGTAACTGTAATGCTGATGATAGTTATGCTTACACTAATCTATGAGGTTCATTAAGGACCTACGAGCAAGTTGGTATATAAACAGTTCCAAAAAATGTGTTTACAAAGTAGATGGTGTGTACTCCCATTAGTAATTCCACGACTACAGGAATGTCTTTTATACCAGTTCTGTGCTCAACTGAAATTATTTCTTACATTAGGAACTACAGGCCCATATGCAAAATGGTTGAAAGGGAGGGGGTTCTAATTTGCGAGATCAAAAGCCATTACATTGTGCAAAGTACAATCAGTGTGGAGAGTACATACGAATGCTAGGGGGCATGCCCCCCAGAAAATGTGTAAAAATAAAAAAAATAGGTGTTATGAGATTAAATCTGTAAGCAATTTTGAATGAAATATAGCTTAAACAATTGCATGGCTGTTCACATAAAATCCACAAACATACAATGAAAAGTCAACAAATCATCATTCTGTTGTAACACTGCATGGGGACTTAAATTAACATAAATATGTATGTTTTATTAAAGTAAAGTACTGTACTGAGTAGTTATTGACTGTTAAGTTATATTACTAATTTAAACAACTCTGTACAACAGTACTATATTAGCTATTTTAATCCTGTCAGCAGTGTCATAATGAATATGTATTAAAGCTAGAGCACTCAGTCTTTGTTCAGTTTGTGTACACCTCAGGTAATTGTTTAATCTTAGGAAAGCAGATGCCAAACGATCACATGAACAAGAGTTTCAGTAACATAAAGATATTTGGTACACTGAAGCACATTTTTAAGCAGTCAGCCAGTATCTAGGGTCTGTCCTGGAGAGGTATAGAAAGTGATCTTGTCTTCCATCAATGAAGTTCTTCATCAAAAATATCAGGGAAAATCCTCCCTGTAAAATCTATAACCTGTCTGATATCAGAGATAGAAAACACTTGTGTGAATTTTGATGGCACAAGTTTCTGAACCGATGCTGCTTCCTTTACATGTGCATCAAATCTGGAGGAACGATTACCGATAAGGTGGCCAAGAAGAGGAATGGTTACTGTTTTCTTAAAGTAATCCTCCAAGGAACTATATTCTGCAAACACGAGTTGACTAATTCATGGCATACTAACATTAATATTACATTTGTTTGCAATATTACTGCTATGCTCGAAGATACGAGGTGAAAAATCATCTATGTTCACTCTTAGTGAAGTTGGTTCTGTACGGAATTATGCTATTAGGGAAACACCAGAAACAAAAATGGGGGGGTTCGGGCAAACTGCCTCGAACCCCAATGCATACATGCATGAACTACCTTCATAAAATCATCTAATCCATACTTGTTCCTGTTATTAAATTCTGACAAACTACACATTTTACAATGTTCAATGCTTGTTTATAATACCTGAACAATCATCTAATACTGTTGTTAAAATTAACATGTTACAAACTGCTTCTTTCTTTTTGACTTGATAGCACACACTGAAAGGAAACAGCTAGTTTTACAATGAAACAACATGAAGCTAAACCAATAGCATGAAATTCCTGTAATAAAGTAAACAAGTTTTAAAAAAGATGCAATTTCTAGATCCACATTCTTTAAATATAATGTTCAATATATTGTGTTTTTAGCTGCTGAAAACACTAATATTTACACATTTCGCGAATAATGAGTAAGAAAGATAACAAGCTCACTAACACTTGTAAATATTACATTTGGTCTATAATTCTACGTAGCCAACAGTTAAACGAATCAACCAACAGGAGTCTCTTAAAGACAATTCTAACATTTTAAAATATAGTAAAACAATATTAAAACTAGTATTAAATCTATAAAGACTTTAAACGAGTACAAAGAGTTCACATGGTCGGTCAAATTGACCATGTTGAGAGAGCTAAAATATAGTAAAACAATATTAAATCTATAAAGACTTTTTTCTGCTGTTAGTGGATCAGTTCCATCTAAATCTTTAATCATGGACAAACAAAAGACATAGAAGAAAAATTAACTTTTACAGTGTCAAGATTTGTAAGTTAATTATTTGTTAGTGTGTACATTTCTCAAAGTGAGAGTGAAACAATAAATGTTTAATAAAGTATTTTGATTTTAAAGTGTTCCCTTATTTTTAGGATAATATCTCCAAAGAGTTACATTGAAGTTAGTCTGAAAATCCATTGTGAAAATGTCAAGTACTTGGAACACGTTCAGGCACAAATCACTCTCTCTTCAACTCGAAGGGGTGATATTCACATTTATCTTCAGTCACCCATGGGTACAAAGTAAGTGATCTTTGTCTTATATAAATAATACAGCAATAACTAACTGATCCTCACAAAGTTGTTCTACATGTATGTTAACTAGATATATATATATATATATTTATTATAAAAATTTAGAGTAAAAAAATCTAGGGCCCGGCATGGCCTGGTGGTTAGGGAGCTCGTCTTGCAATCTGCAGGTCGCGTGTTCGATTCCCTGTCACACCAAACATGCTCGCCCTTTCAGACGTGGGGGTATTAAAATGTGACGGTTAATCCCACTATTCGTGGGTAAAAGAGTATCCCAAGAGTTGGCGGTGGGTGGTGATGACTAGGGATGGCTAGCACAGATTGCCCTCGTGTAGCTTTGTGCTAAATTCAAAACAAACAAAAAAATCTGTTCAAAGACACATAGTAAGAAAAGGCCAATTCACAAAACCTGACCGATATGTATCAAGCGGACGTCTTTCTAGAAGGGTGGACCTGACAAAAAGTTTCAACAATTGAAAAATATTATTTGTTCTTATTCTCTTTTTTAAACATACAACTTCATAAAGGATTTATAAATAATTAGAATCTATAAGATATCTCACTATACTTTAAAATACGTTCATAATTTAAAACAATTTGAAATCTGACAACAAATTTCCAAAACCTCCCATGCACATTTGAAAGCTTTTGATAAGGTACCCTACAGATGTTGAGCTTACAAAATTACATGATTGATCAGTAGGGGGACTGGGTGAGAGAAAGTAAAACACTGTCATTAATGAGGTCCAGTAAAACTGAACCTTTGCTATCAGTGCTTGGGCCTTACCATTTTTTAATTTATGTTATTAATATTGTTAGCAATATAATTAATCACTAACTATAAAAGGCTTATTCCCTTTATCATTCTGTCGAGAATGCTTTAACGCTCCATTTTTGGTAATGCTCAACACTATACATCATCACTTAGCTTTAAAACTATCACTTGATTGTTCTTAGGCTAACTATGGTGTTTATGGTGAATGCTCAATATTCATGTTGATTTATTAAAAAGGTTTTTTTATTCTTTATTTTTTAGTGACATAACAGCAAAATAGTTTAATTCAGAAGCTTTATGATATTGAGTTGTAGCCAAAAGTCAAATAAAATTTACCAAGTAGTCTTTCAGCTAAGCCTTATGTTATGTTTACGTATTAGGCCTGATGCTTAAATTAGACTCCAAATAGGCCTACTATTACTAACGTTATAGAGTAAGTGTTTAAAAAGTTTTAAATTGTGAATAAATGTTAATTAATAAATATTCTTATTGTATTTTAACACATATATTATCTACTTGGCCTTAAAACATAAAGAAAAATAAACATTTATTACTACCAAATATCTTTTATCTTTTGTACAGTCCACAAATGGCTACAGTTTTGGTCTCCTTATCTAAGAAAAAATACTTACTGGAAAGGAGGGTTACTATGATCTTGAGAAAAGAAAGAAATAAGTGATCTTACTAAACTTTACAAGATTATTCAGAAGATAAATAGCTTAAAAACCTCTGATTTCTTTCTGCTGTATTCATAATACAATAGGACACAAGGTTTAAGAAATGTTAGGTTCTAGTTGAGACAGTTTTATTTTAAAAAACGAGTGACCATCAGATGTTGTAGAAGTCAACATTTTACAAGAGGGGAATTCATAAAAAATAAAGGGTGGATACAGAATTTTTTCATCATGGGTACATGTGCAAGGACAGCCTTGAAGGTCCATGTGGTCCTATTGCTAAATCTGTCCCACAACTTGCCCTATTATTTGAGGTACAAAGAAATAATCCAAGCAATATAGAAACAAGCTTACAGACAGACAGAACATTCTTCAATCTTTAATATTAAATTTTTCTTTTTTACTAATACTTATTGCCTTATTTTTCAGGATCTACTGTTGAAAACACACACCACCTCCCACTCACCCCTCATTTTTAAACCTTACCAATATTTCACATAGAACAGTTTTACCTGTTACAGTAAAACACAAGTTTTATGATGGGACCCTGTTAAACCCATCATTTTTTTGCATGTTCTGCTGGAATTATTTCCATAATGGCCTAGTAGTAATCACCATACCTTATACAATTTCCAGTCTATTTATAAAAGGTGGATAATAACATGGTTTGGATTAGTTTTCAGCCAAAAAGACACAACTGTTATCAGACACTGTCACCATCTGATGGGTAAATCTGGAATTTTGGCCAGATGCTGGCAACGTCCACTCGGGTTTAAGGAGTTAATGCAAACTAAAATTTGACCAACACATCTAGGTCATTTCACTTAGACATAATATAACTGAGTTCAATTTCGTATAAAGTCAACAATCACTTAAACTTAGAACCAACATTTTCTACCATATTTAATGATCACACACTTTCACCTAAATGTGCATGAGCTTATGTGTAAAGTAAATTAGGAATGTCTGTAAGTTTTTACTTTAAAAAACGATCACTTTCATCACATTAATGTTTCTTGAACCCTAACAATCTTTAGACTCGGTAAAAGTCAACAAGAGACAATGAACACTGCTCAACTGATAAATAACCCCTGTTAATATTTACCAAAATAGTGTCCTTCATTATGAATTTCAAGTTTCCACTCTCCATTTGGATTCTCTCCCCAGTTGTGTACGGTTTATAGATGTATACACACACTAAGTAACTACAGGTGTAGTTAAAATGATGACAACTACTGTTATGGAACAATGTTAATGGGGGTGATGAACATGAGATAAAGTACTTGATACATGTGTCATCTAAAGCAATGGTTATATCTAAACTAAGCAAGTCCCCATCTGTAGCGATGGTTTATATCTAAACTAAGATATAAACATTGCTACAGATGGGGACTTGTTAAACTAAGCAAGTCCCCATCTGCAGTACTGGTTTTATCTATCAGCAACATATTATTATCGAGATCAAGCTGAAAAAAACTCATGTTGGCTCTGCATCCATTATTATGTGCAATAACACTTCATTACCATAGGGCCTGAAGCATATTTCAACACCAAGTCCCCACCTGCAGTACTGGTTTTATCTATCAGCAACATATTATTATCGAGATCAAGCTGAAAAAAACTCATGTTGGCTCTGCATCCATTATTATGTGCAATAACACTTCATTACCAAAGAGCCTGAAGCATATTTCAACACCAAGTCCCCACCTGCAGTACTGGTTTTATCTATAAAACAAGGTATCAGCAACATGTTGGCTCTGCATCCATTATCATGTGCAATAACACTTCATTACCAAAGAGCCTGAAGCATATTTCAACACCAAGTCCCCACCTGCAGTACTGGTTTT